CGTCGTCATCGTTATCGTCACCTTCATCTTCATCCTCATCGTCATCCTCATCGTCATCGTCATCGTCATCGTCTCCGCCTAATCCTCCTCACCACCACTACCACCACCACAACCACCCTCCTCCTCCTCATCCTCATAATCATCATCATCATCACCATCACCACCATCATCCTCATCATCATCATCATCATCAGCATCATCATCATCATAACAATCATCAGCATCATCAACATCATCAGCATCATCCTCTTGCTATTTTTCCTCCTCCTCCTCTTCCTTCTGCTCTTCCTCCTCCTCCTCCTGCAGCGGTTCCTCCTCCTCCTCCTCATCATCATCATCATGATCCTCATCCTAATCCTCATCCTCATCCTCATCAGCATCATCATCATCATCATCATCATCACCATTACCACCATCATCATCATCATCATCATCATCATCAGCATCAGCATCATCATCATCATCATCATCATCATCATCATCATCATCATCATCATCACAATCATCAGCATCATCAACATCCTCAGCATCATCCTCTTGCTATTTTTCCTCCTCCTCCTATTCCTTCTCCTCTTCCTCCTCCTCCTCCTGCAGCGGTTCCTCCTCTCCCTCCTCCTCATCATGATCCTCATCCTCATCCTCATCCTCCTCCTCATCATCATCAGCAACATCATCATCATCATCATCATCATCATCATCATCATCATCATCATCATCATCATCATCATCATTCTCCTCCTCGTGCTCCCTCCTCCCCCCCTCATCCCCTCCCTCCCTCTGATCGCCTCCCCCTCGCCCGCACGCAAGCCAAAGGTCTATAGGTTTCGCAGCCCCTCGTAGGAAAAGGAGGGTGATAAGAACAAGGCACGACGACGGCAGCAAGCTGTTGTAACATCAGTGGCACAAGCCCAACCCACAACCACACGCCGAGGAGACAAGTGGCCGGAGCCCTAAAGCAGATACGGACCCAGACGCCTCACGGTCCGAAAATCGTCAAAGAGTCTTGGGACCTCTCCACGCACCTGCTTGAGCCCATTCCTCCCTCAGCGTCATCCTTCTTCTTCTCCTCCTCTTCCTCCTCCTCCTCCTCCTGCTCATCTTCCACAGCCATTCCTCTGGGGGAGGGGGGGGGCGCGGCGCCTGGGACCCGGCCCCGAGGTCCCTCGGCAAACTTGGGAATGGCCCTGCTGGCGGGGGCGGCTCGTAGTGCCGTTTGCGGTGCGAGGCAGCGAATGTGATGGGCTGGAGGTGTTGCCTCTACCCTGCTCCACCAAGAAGTCCCGCGGGTCCATGATGGGCGACGCGCAGGCCAGCATGCGGACGGTCGACGAGGCACAGGGGGCCCACAGTGGGACATAGGAGCCTGAGCTGCTGTGGGGTGGCGGTGGTGGTAAAATGACCGACTCGGCAGTTCACCCAGATGTACACGTCGCGGAGGCCGCCCAGTACATCGGGCCCGCACTTCTGCGCTATCGCCCGTTTGTCAGGAGATGTGGGGAGCCTGGTAGTGCACTGACCCACGCGCCTAAGGGCTTATGCATGGTTGTGTTATCTGTACGCACACTTGACCTTTCTCTGTCAATGCATTGGATTGGGTTGTGTTCGTTTCCTTCTCAGCGAACGTTTGGTCACGCAGCGCAAGCATAGCCTGGAAAAGAGCGCACTCACCTTCGGCAAGTTGGCTTGGGCGCAATATGATCGACACTGGCGGACAATCACTCGTTGTTGATTGGTTGCTCTGCAGTGCACAGTGCCTTGTGAAGTACGAGAAGCACATGTTGTACACCATCCTCGGAGGCTCCAAGCACGCTCGGCCTTCAGGAGGTTACAGGAGAATCAAGGAGACTCCTCCTCCTCCATCCCTCTCCCTTATATATATATAACTCCTTTCTGCTGCACCCCGAAGCCAGTCGAAAGAGCGGGCCAGGCGTTGCGCCTGAGACTCCCTCACCACTTATGATCCTGAATATGAGAGCATGCAAGAGCTTCACGACTGGAGGGTGGGTCGTGTTCAAAATGTGGCTCCCGCCTTAGCGCCGCGCACATTCGTCTTCAGAGTTTGCAACACTTCGAACTAGTAGCATGGCTGACGTCCCAGAAAAGGTGCTTCGGCACGATGTAGGACTGCCAGGGAGCAACAACCACGGTGATTCGCGGTGTTGAAGCCCACGGAATGGAGTTCTGGTACATATCCAGAAAGTGGTAATGACAGTGAGCGGGGTACCCCCCTCAATGATAGTGAACCCTTGCAGGGCCCTTTGACGAGGGAACTTGGAGGAGAGTGTATTGCAATATCGTTGATGGGCCTTGGGCTTGCACTGGTCTTCCTCCTCCTTCCCCTCCTGCTCCACCTCCTACGTCTCCTCCTCCTCCTCCTCCTCCTCCTCCTCCTACTCCGCCCTCCTCCTCCTCCTCCTCCTCCTCCTCCTCCTCCTCCTCGTCCTTGCAAGAATATTACGGATTGAGGGCGGATCGTTTTCAAAATGTGGCTCTCGCCTGAGCGCCGCGCACATTCGTCTTGAAATCTTACAAGAGCTTCACGGATGGAGGGCGGCTCCGTTTTAAATGTGGCTCTCGCCTCAGCGCCGCGCACAGTCGTCAAACATCTTACAAGAGCTTCACGGAGGAGGGCGGTTCCTTTTCAAAATGTGGCTCTCGCCGTAGCGCCGCGCACATTCGTCTGCAAAGTTTGCAAGTGCTTCTCGAATGGAGGGCGGTTCCTCTTCAAAATCGCCTCATCGCCGAACACATTCGCCTTGAGAGTCAGCAGCAGTTTCAAGGGTTCTCATGGTGGACGTTCAAGAAGTGGTGTTCTGGCACGATGTCGGGATGTCAGGGCGCGGCGTCACGTTGATTTGCGGCGTTGAAGCACCAGGAATGGAAATCTGGCGCGGTTCAGGATCACCGAAGCGCAACAGTAACGGTGACTCGCGGCGTTGAAATCACAGGAATAATGTTTTGGCTCATTCCGGGCTTTCGAATGGCTGTCTTCAAATTGGTCGCTTGCCTCAGAGAAAATGAACCCTTGAAGGGGCCCGTGAATTAGGAAAATTGGAGGGATGGTTGATTGCAACATCGTTGATGCGTCTTGGGTTTACCGCGGTCCCCCTCGCCCTCCTCGTCACACTCCACCTCCTTCTCCTCCTCCTCCCCCTCTTTCTCCTCCTCCCCCTCCCTCCATCCCTACCATCTCCTCTCCTAGCCTGGAGTCAGAAGACGACGATGACGACGACGGCGACCTGACCTTCCTCCTCCTCCTCCTCCTCCTCCTCCTCCTCCTCTTCCTCCTCCTCCACCTCCTCCTCCTCCTCCTCCTCCTCCTCCTGTTCCACCTCCTACGTCTCCTCCTCCATTCCTTCTCCTTATACATAACTCCTCTCTGTCGCACTCCGGGGCCAGTTTTTAGGGCGGGCCGGGCGTCTCGCCTGAGACGTCCTCACCATGTATGATTCAGAAGCTCCAAAAGTGACAACAGTTTCACCGATGAAAGGCGGGTGGTTTTCAAAATGTGGCTCTCACCTTAGCGCTGCGCACATTTTCAAAATTTGCAAGAAGATGACGGCTTGAGGGCGGATCGTTTTTTGAAAATGTGGCGATGGCCTGAGCGCCTCGCACATTCGTCTTCAAAATTTGCAAGAGCTTCCAGGTGGAGGGCGGGTGGTTTAAAAAATGTGGCTCTCGCCGTAGCGCCGCGCACATTCGTTTTCAACATTTGCAAGAGCTTCCCGGATTGAGGGCGGGTGGTTTTCAAAATGTGGCTCTCGCCTTAGCGCTGCGCACATTCGTTTTCAAACTTTGCAAGAGCTTCGCAGATGGAAGGCGGATCGTTTTCAAAATGAGGCTCTCGCCTTAGCGCCGCGCACATTCGTCTTCAGAGTTTGCAACACTTCGAGCTAGTAGCATGGCTGACGTCGCAAATGGATGGCATGGCGAACTAGTAGCATGGCTAGTTTACAACAGTTTCACGAATGAAGGCGGGTCGTTTCCAAAATGTAGCTCTCGTCTTAGCGCCGCGCACATTCGCTTTCAATATGTGCAAGAGTTTCACGGGTTGATGGCGGATCGTTTTCAAAATGTGGCTCTCGCCTTAGCGCCGCGCACATTCGTTTACAGTATTAACAAAAAGAGTTTCACGGAT